GGCGAGGTCAGGGGGTGGGAAGTTACGGTGACAGGGAGGAGTGGGTTCCGGGCTCATGCACGGCAGGGCGACCGCGGTTAACAATAACCCACAGTGCATTTCAAAGGCGCCAGAAGCGAGGGGACAGGGGTCTGAATGTTGTCGCCATAAGGAAGTGCTGATTGTCATGGCAGTCACCCTCACTGGGTTGTCCCGCACTGTGATTGTGTATAGCACACCACACCCGTAAATGGTGCGACCGTGGGTCACCAGGCACAGACTACTCTGAGCGAGAGGGCTCTACTGCCTGCCCCGGATCACCCTGCAGAGCTCGGTGCAGATGCTGCCTCCTCTAGGAAGCCCGTCTTCTGTCCTTAACCCACTGTGGGGCACAGAGTCACAGCTGCCTGCTCCCCCACCTGTCTGCCCTCCGGCCCGTGAGCGTGGGTAGGGACCTGTCTGGGTGGGCGTGGGCAGGAAGGACAAGGTGTGATGGCGCATGATGGCCCACCCCCAGGACAGAGCCCGCCTCCTCATCCTGCGGCCCAGGCCCTTCCCACAGCGGGGCCCTGCCCACAGAGAGGATGTGCACACAGAGGGGTCCTGCCACAGCAGAGACTCTACCCACAGCGGGGCCCTGCCCACAGCAGGGATGTGCCCACAGCGGGGATGTGCACACAGAAGCGGCCTGCCCACAGTGAAGCCCTGCCCAGCGGGGCTGGCACCTGAAGTAGTCGTAGGAGAACTCCTCCAGTGTGTAGGGCTTGGCGCGCACCTCGGGCTCTGCCGTTCGCAGCTGCAGGAGCCGAACGACGTCCTGCCTCTGGTCGGGGGTCATGGTGACCAGGGCCTAGGCCGAGAGACGGGGGTTTGGATCGGCTCCCGCTGGAGGCTGCTAGGAGCACAGGGCAAAGCCAGGGCCTTCTAGCCCAGCTGGGAGTCGGTGGACGGCCCCCTTCCCTCAGACCCCCGGCCACCCCTGCCACCTCTGTCGCCCTGGCTCGACCTCCTTGGGGGTGCCGCCTCTGGCCCAGGCTGGGTCACTCAGAGAGCCCGGACAGGGAGGGGCCCATGGGAACTGCCTGGGCACCCGTGGGCTCCCACCTCAGCCGAGCCACCAGATGCCCCTTCCCAGCGCCCTCGCGGCCCTCTCCTCCCACCCCGCCTGCAGATTCTCGGCCCCCCAGCTGTCAGTTCACGTCCCTAAGACCCCCGGATTGTTTCCCCAAAGCTGCAGGCCATTAACCTTCCTGTCGCCCCGTCCCGCCCTGGGTCATGGGCAGAGAACCACGAGGGTCGGGCCACGTACCACGATCTCCCGTGGTGGCATGGTGGCCGTGGGCATGACGTACACACAGTCGGTGGGGAAGTCCCCGCGCTGCTTGGTCCGCTCATTGATGCCATTGGCCCAGCCCGAGGTCATGACCTGCTCGCCCGTGTCGCGGTCCAAGACGATGAGGTCCCCCTTGGCAAAGCTGAGGAAGCCTGACTCCTCGCCCGCTGCCCCCGGGGCAGACAGAGACTGGCTGATGATCTCAGCCACGACTTCCGCCCAGGGTCCAAGGCCCTGTGCCACTCAGTCTGCCTCCCTCCATCCTCCCTCCACCCTGTCACAGCCACCACCACCAGATGGGGCCACGGCATGGCTCCCCACCGCCCTAGGAGAAAGCCCATCCCCAAGGCCTGTTTTGAGTGGGCCTCCCGACTCCTGTCCCTCCTCCCTCACCCCCCACGGGAAACTCAGGTTCTCAGACAGGACAGGCGGGCTCCTGCCTCCGTGCTCCGTCCACACCCTATTCTCTGGCCACATGCTTCCTCCTGAGCCCTGAGCTCCCAGCTTCGCAGCCCCAGGCGTCCCTGGTCAGCTCCACCCCCAGCCCCTGGTCTCCTGCCTCCTCCCCGGGCAGGGTGAGGTCCGGGTCATCGCTGTCTTTTCCTTGCTGTGCCCAGAGCCTCAGTGGCCCAGGGGATGTGTTACTGCTGGTGTCATGGGACAGTGGGTGGGCACATGGGGGACACAGAGGGGAACCCTGCCCTAACCTGGAGATGGTGACAGGAGTGAAGTCTGCAAGACAGAGCGTGGGAGGGCGAGGTGGGAGGCACGGGGTCTGCCACATGGTCCAGTGTCGGGGGAAGGTGGCCACCAAGCATGGCAGCCCTGAATGCCTTTAATGCCGAGGCCACAGTCAGAGCCTGCCTGCACCCCAACACCTGCTGGCCCAGGCTGGCAGCCACTCACCAGGGTTGGGGTTATCCTGCAAGGCCACCACGTACTTCGACCTCTTCCGGAGCCCCTCAAGGAAGGTGACCACCAGGTCACGGATGTCCTCGGCATTGCTGGACGTGAAGGTGTACTCGTCCCCCTTGATGGTGGCCAGCGTGAAGCTGGGGGCCTTCAGTTTTGCTCCCCTGCAGGACCAACACGGAGAACAGGGCCCGGTGGGGGTCAGGCCTGCAGGGCTCGAGGGGGACGCAGCACAGCTTGGCTCCGGGCAGCCCAGTGAGAGCAAGACGCGGCACTCCCTGGAGGAGACCAAGGCCAGCCTAATCAGATGTGGGCACCACGGGAGACGGCCCGGGTCAGGCACGTTCAGTCCATGTCAGATGGGGCCCCGTAGAGCCAGGCATGGCCCAGGAACCCCACAGGCCTGGCCACTTACTGTTGCCTAATCCTTACTCACCCTGCCAGTACCAACCTGGGTGCTGATTCCTCCAGGAAGTCCTCCTGGCCCTCCCACATCACTCACTGCACTGTCCCCTTCTCTATTAAAACTCCAAGAGGGCAAGGGCTACCTGGTCACCTCTGTGTCCTGGGTACCTGGCAATGCCTGGTCAGAGCCAGACGTGGCCTGACTGCCACAGCAGAGGCAGCCCAGGACAGGGGAAGGGGCTGCTGCAGAGCCGGGAAGGCCCCCCGACACCTACATGACTGCACTTCGCAGTTTACAGACTGTCACATTCGTCACCATTGCTGCTGAAAGAACCTGTCAGACCCTCCTCAGGAAGAGGACTTGGCAGTGGGGTCCCCCAGGCCCCTAAATCCCAGCTCCAGCTCTTCACGCGCGCGCCAGCCTCAAACCCGCCGCTAACGTGTCTGAAAGCCGCCCCTCCGTGCGAGCAGAGGGTGCCCGGGGCCGGCCCAGCAGCACTCAAGGCCGG